TCCGATTACTGATAGTTCCCCCCACCCCAACAAGTATGACCTGAAGCTTGAAAAGTTCGACAACTAAACTTACTTGGATACTTTGAGTGGTCCTTAGCAAAAACCTTGCTAGGCGTCGTTACAGGACACCACAAAGTATTAATATTTTTTCAATGGTAACAAACATTAAAGCTATATTTACTACATTACAAACAAAACAATGCGTAATGAAAAGACATGCTAACATATTAGTACCCCCGATGATTTTTACGACACTGCCGAAAAACTTCGACAACTGAAATGTCTCACAAATCTGGGGCCTTAACATTCTTATAGAGGGTACTTTTTCCTATAGTTCTAAAGCTAGATGAGGATTTTTTAAGACATTCCTTACTTAAGGGAGTTTTTGCTCTTCTCTTCATAAACCAAATCTTAATCTCCGCATAGATAACCGATACCTTATTGTATGCAAAACTTACACGATATTGCGACATAATAATGCATCACTGTGTGCCACTTTCAGCTGCATTAGGTTGGATTTCCACCATCAAAACAGATCACAATGGATGGAAATGAATGAAGAACCATGCTGTATAGAAGGGCACTTCCGGATGAGGCCAATTCATTTGTGCGGTGTTCCACTCAAATAGTTTAGACTCTACGAAAAGAAACACAACCCAAGAAGAAAACTGCTGTGGACACTTGACAGGAATCATTGCGGCTTTGAAGAAGGCGAAGGCGCCGAAATATTAGCAACAATAAGTTCCACAGAGACGGAATTTAGAGAAAAAGACTTGCATTTTACTACTAGAGACCGGAGTCTAATCGCTTTTTCTTTGATTTAATAAGTTTCACTACGATATGCGATATTTCTTCCAAATAAAAACGTTAACCTGTTTTCGTCCCGTATGAGTAACCAGTCACTCTTTCTATCATAAATATATTAAACAAGAAGTAATAAGTTTAGGAAAATGGAGAAAGTTAGAAAAGAATTAGAGGAATACGAATAAGAAAAAGTACACGAAAGGAAATATCACCCTAAAAAAGTCAAAAACACTAAAACATAGAAGTGAACAGTAAGAATGAATGCAGTTATCTGGTTTAAATGTGCTCACCTCCTCAGGTGTCTCATGTGCTGTTCAAAGCACTATGGGAAAAAAAATAACGGTATAAAACACTTACTAGACTTGAGGATATATCTTTTGCAGAGACAGGACATTCGACTATCCACAAACTCACATGATTTCATGTTATCTAATTATCCTTTTGCGCAATGTTCGTAAGATAATAGATTATGTCATATACACATGTTAGTTACAAAAAAAAAGAAAGAGAAGACGAGAAAGGGAGAGAATATAAAAAGCGAATGAGAAAAAGTATGCACCTGGCGATGTAGATGTGCCAGAAGATAGTTCTGTTTCTTGAGTTCCTCTTCGATCATCGGTTTATCTTCGCATAACCATCCTTCGACGTCAGCTGCAGCTCTCGGTGGCACGTATCTGAACACTTTACAATATGATATGGCCAAACACATATAAACAAATTACAGAGACTCCCTTTTAAAAAAAAAGCATCAATACAGCAGCTGTACAACAAAGCATTTACTTCACTTCGAACTGCGAAGCACTTTGGAAAGAAATCCCTTCATAGAACTTAAGACTTTTTTCGTGACTTAACCACTTTTTTTTACTATAAAAGTGATCCCATAGCCAACTCTTCATGTGTCGCTTGTCACATCGATTCGACACAGTCGATTATAAAAAAGTGAACAAAACAAATTTGACTTCTTTGAAGTGCGCAACTTCATACATGCACAAAAGTCTTTCATGCACCGTTTTTGAAATACGACCTACACTGGAATATGCGTCGTTTTCTTGTTCAGCAATCGCGAGGTTTTTAAGCAGCATATATTTACTTCCATAGGGAACACAATACAATACAACACTAGCTGACGTTTCGACAGTATCTCCTTCTACAGAGCCTAGAAGGGTATACTGATATGCAATCTACTACGCCAAACGCTTCAATACCACTTACAAAAAGACGAAAAACAATGGTAATTACATCTAGCGGAGACGATTTTGAAGTAAAAGTCAATATCCTTGCACAAGAGTCTAAAACAGCAGCGCGAAAACTTCTTGAGGCTTTTTGGATAAATGCCAAAAACCCTACAATGAATAGCAGGGATGAATGCCCAGAGGTCATACGCGACCTGACCCTGTATGTTCGCATCGATTTTTGGTGTGGGATGGTGCGGTCATCAACCATATACGACTATAATCAGCTGCTCTAAACTCACTCATTGGAAGTCACGTAAAAAGCGGTGGGTTTTTCGAGAAGCTGTTGATCATGTAATTACCATAGAGTTTTTCGTCTTTTTGTAAGTGGTATTGAAGCGTTTGGCCTAGTAGATTGTACATCAGTATACCCTTCTAGGCTCTGAAGAAGGCGATACTGCCGAAACGTCAGCTAGTGTTGTATTGTATTGTGTTTCTCTATGGAAGTAAATGTATGCTGTTTAAAAACCTCGTGATTGCTGAGCAAGAAAACGACGCATTCATATTCCAATGCCGAGGTTAATAGAAAGTCAATCCTGGGAACTATTGCGACCTACACTCTCCTGGATGACTTGAATTTAATTTAGCATCGAAGATGCAGTGAGGAGAAGAAATAACGCTCGAATCCATGCTCACCTTCTCGACTTCACCATTCTCCCTACAAAAAGAAAGATCAATCAGCTTTATGAAACGTGCAGTCGAAAAGATGATGCTAAGAGTGTCTCGTAACACGCAAGTGAGGGAAGGGATCCGAAGCTCCGATCTACGTCAATGATCAAAAAGAAAGACGTCGATATGCACACAAAATTATAGAGGATAGTATGAGACAAACACGTAATGCGTATGAACCACAACCGATAGATAACAGCCGTTAGGCATTAGATTCCTACATATGACGAACCTACTGCACGAAGAACCGCGAACCGATGGTAGAGTTCTTCACGAAAACCATAGAAGAAAGATATTATGCTCAACGAGTCTCTACAGCTTGCAGAATTCACTGGATTCTTACATGTGACAAGGAGAAAAAGAAAATTAATTGGCTCCCGCTCGAGTCACTTGACAATCAACAGGACCACAGGTATATAGGGTGATACGTAGCACTAGAAATTCAGAGACTATACATATAATGAACAAAATCTGGAAAAAGCTAGACGAGATATATGGAGCAAATTTTCAACGAGACGTTATAGAAGAAGAACAACTCCGAGAAAATCGTGACAAAAAACCCGAACTGGTCGACATTTTCAACCATAATCGGATTCACAATCTGAAAAAAGCGAAAGCGAAGTGGTAAACACAGACAATGGTTCACAAAAACCATGGTTTCTAATACACAGATCATAACACTTAAGGTGAATACTAAATTAAACGACTTGAAATCGTGCAGGAAGAAAAAAGTACTGATAAAACTCACAATGTTAACTTTTCTATTTAGTGCTTCCTACGACTTTTGACGGAAGGCAATTATGTGAATTACAACCACAATGATACTGAGATAATCGCAAAACTCTGGATCGCAGGTGTACGCGCTGGGGATCGAGCACGTTATTACTCTGTCCGGAGGCTAACGCGTTCACCACCACACCATGCGAGTCCTTCGTTTCGATTTTCCCTCAACTAGTTTCCTGTCAACTACTGTCATCAACAATCACCCGTCAATGGGATCGATCTCGAGAGCACAAATTGGCACTGAAATCAGTTAATCTACGAATGTAGTCGAAATCACAATGTTAACCCTTTCGTTTACTCTTTGTTACTGATAAAATTATACAGTTCCACGGGTGATAATAAGAAAAACCACAGATGTCATGACAGGAAAGAAGAACCCGATAATGAGGAGAAATAAGTGGGTCACAATGAAAAAAAAATTCAAAAAAGTGAATCGCATCCATAATTCATCATTTATACTTATTTCCTGAACCACTAGTTAATAAGACATTTCTCTTATTCAAAGTAAAACCATTTCTTACATTTTCGGTGTATGTATCACTGGTATCATTCTGCCCTACACTGATCTTGTTAGCCTTAGAGCCAAATGATCCATTGCCGTGATAAGAGAGTAATGTTTGATTATTCACTCAATTGTTAAAGAAAATCTCGAACAAATAAGCACTTTGTAATTATCAACAATTTACAAAATTTTCCCCGATTTGTACAATTTAAAATTTTTCTACAAATCAAACATGCGAATTCGCTACATGAATGACGATGTTCACAGAAAAAATGCTTCCGTAAGAATTTTTTCTCTAAACCTGCGCTATTAAATGCAAACGAAATAAGATGGTATTACTGTAATCAGATGTGCTACCTGCACATTTTTTTCGTTAAAAGGCTTCTTCAGGAAAGTGAAAAACTGATGAATTACATCACTTTCCTGGCTAGGCTTCTTATCGACAGCCTTTGTCTTCTTAACGACCATTCTGACGTCATAACTGATAACTAGGAAGAAACCTATCTATTGAGTGAAAACAATGCAATTTATGTTTTTCTTGTGTGCAATAAATTATTTTTAACTGCATTATAAACAGACCAGTATATGTCCGGAGTGTAAATATCTTAGCGTTATAATAGTTATATTTCACGGAAGACCAGTATATGTTTTCCCAATAGGTTACTTATTGACGAAATTGAGAATACAAATCTGGTCCACTGCCAGTAGTTACCAACGTCTCTAGCGCACTTGTCCGATGGAAAACGAATTGAACACCTTCGACGGAACGACTTCGGAAGTCCCTCTTCCTCTCCGTCTTACACACTGCCTTGTCGAGCGCTGAACAAGATCGCGGACTACCGCCGAGTGGGCGTGGCGATCAACCAATGACGACTAACGTCATACCATCCGACGAGTTGCCAATCTTTGAGACTACCACATACTTAATCACTTCTGTACCATTATCGTTTCTATTCTATTAATAGTGATTTATAGTCCATCAATACTGAGTTACCGATCAGCGGACTCGTATGAGACTACCACTGTTGGCGCTCGTCGTGCTCGCATTCGCCGAAGCGCGACACGCCGCATCAGTGCCTGGTTGTCCAGATTTAGATGTATTGGAAGCACAAATCGACCCAAATACAGACTTCTTCAATAGTCTAATACTATGTTTCTGTAAGGTGGCTGATTTTACTTCATTCCAAAATACCTAATGCAGTGTTATATCGTTCCGAGTTCAACTAAACAAAAAAAAAATTTGGTTTTATAGCACACGCATAATATCGGAGTATCAGAAAACAGTCCTATTTATGAACATTTTTCAGTACTTTTTTAAAGTGCTAATTATTCTGTTTTGTAATTGTTGACTCCTCAGATTCAACCGAATGGAACAATCGACATTTCATGTTTGTACGGTTCAACACTGGAGCATCTACGTAAGGCTACTGATGCTGTTAAGGCGGCTAACCTTACCACTACCAAGGTAGCCAAAATGTCAAGTTACCTGACCAACTAACACCAATGTCTACTTGTTCAAATCAAGCGGATGACATCATCTTCTTTAAGTTTTCTAGATCACTTTTCAACACATCGAATTCGCTGATTCTCGTTTACCAGCATTTGCCGAATTTGCTCCAACTCTTACCAGCCTCGAGATCCGCGAGTGCACAAACCTCGATGTACTTGTAGTGCCGGAGGCGACATTTGAGGGTTTGGAAACTACGATGAAGAACCTCACTATCGATTCTTGCAACCTCAAAGTGAGTCAGTGAACGAGTTCGTTTCTTTCCAAAGAGCAGATTCGACGACCGTTTTGACTACCACATAAAGTACGACAACGCAGACACACCTACTTATCCAAACAAAGCAACCTGCACCAATCAACTACCCTATGTGTAAACGTTTCAGGAAATTCCAACAGCTATCAAAAATCTCAGCCAACTAGAAACACTCGACTTGTCTAACAATAAAATCGAACACATTCATGCTGCTGTGCTTAGTGGTATGGAAGAGGTTAGCAAAACTTATTAACTATTTAATAACTGCGATGGTCATTTTTACTTAAAATCCAAAAAGAAAACCAACTCCAGAGTGCTATCAAATTATCTAAGAAAGCGTTTAACAGTTCGTGATTTTCATAAAGATATCATTAGAAATTTATGACATCACTGATCATAAGAACTATTTTCTTTGTAATCTCTGATGGGCTCACTGCATAACGTTTTTCTTCATATTTCTAGTAAACAAACTTACGCACATAAACACCATGAGGAAGACTAACGATTTTGATCGATATCGAACACCACATCGATTTTCTCCATATTTCGATCGATTCAATGAATTTTTCACCTCGCAGGCAGCCCTTGATTTTCTTCATTCACAATGCATTTATTCCTCGCTTTCATTGATCCAAGCAAATCGCTTGCGCACGCGCAATTGAATCACGCACGATTTGAAGGACAGCAGGCATTACAGGAATTCCCGAGAATTTCACTGAAGAAACACATCCGTATTTTCGTAGTACTCAGTCTACACAGCGCTGAACAAGGAATAGTTATGGCAAAAGGAAACCTTTCGTCGAACTTATGTAGATTTATCAGAAAATGTGTCTTCTATATAGAAGTTCTCACACATGAAATTTAAATTCTTATTTTTAAGAACAAAGTGGAGTGTAGTAGTTAAAGATGTCCTGCATTATACACGTGATCTTTGGTTCGTTCCTATCCCCAGGGCACACCCAGTTTTGCATCCTTCACGCGGCGGCAAATTGATATTAGACTTCTCTGGAAAGATTGCAGGCATTCACTTGCTACATCGGTTAGCCAACGAAAGTCATTGCTTAGACCACATATACTCTCCGTCACCTCTAACGATGTCCAATGAAGTCAAATGCATGGCGCATTCCCTAGGGATTGATCAACGGCTAACATCATAATGCTTATCCCTTATTTTTAGGAAAACAACTTATTAAACGCCTTAAGTAGCTACTTGTCATTATTTTGAGCTTCCAATTAAACAACATATTTTACCTTCGAGCACGAGGAAAAAGGTGAAACGGTGAAAAGCTATTGGCTGGTGTAACCATCAAGTCAGTGGTTTTTTACCTTTTTCACTTGTGTTTCGAATTTCCTTTCACATGGTGTGTCGTCATGAAATGGTCGGAAAATTTGTACGAGTTCACATCCCCCGATTAACTTCACAAAACTTGATTTTCTATTCAGATGAACGACTAGTAATCACTTTAACCTCTACGGTTGTTACTTCCAGATTTAGAAACGGCCCAGAACAAGCACAACCCTTTCAAGTTACTGAACTGTCTTTTCTAAAGTTAAGAAGAAAAAAAAACAACTAAAAAAGGAAAATTTGTGTTCTCCGTTCAAAGTGAATTACAGTATTTTTAACCCTGTCCAGCAATATTTATCTCCAAATTTACTTTGACAGAAAGAAAAACTTCTGAACATTTCTAGTTCCATAAAGCAAAAGCTAGACTACAGAATTATCATAAGCTGAACACGATATGATGTCACTACTTAGGGTAGTGGAGAATAAAGTTCGTCATTGATTGGTATACTAAATTAAATCGTTAATCTTAAATTCATCTATCCACATTCGTTCCATAATTAATTTGAAAATAAATCTGTTAGTTCTGTCGGTCTTAAAAAGTTTTCCTCGAACTAGAAGCTTAAAGAACTAAAACATTAATCGCAAGAAATTCTAGTGCAAATCGAATCGATACTGAACTATTTTACAGCTTCGATACCTCGACTTATCCGGTAACTTCATAACTAACGTCGAAACTGGCTCATTCGAACGTATGAAGAAAGTCGAAACATTAATCATTGGCGAACACAACTACGTCAATGACACTCTTATCGATGCGATATCAAACCTTAAGTCACTGAAGGTATCGTGTTATTTCGTTTAGAAATGAAGAGCTCTGAGAGATCAATCACTGTTTTCATTTCAGACACTTGATTTATCACGTGCTGATGGAATCTTCGAACCTCCTATGGAACTTTTTGATGCCTTAAAACAACTAGAAGTTCTTAAACTTAGCGGATGTAGTATTCCATCCCTAGAACCCGGCATATTCTCATCTTTAAGGAATTTAACGCAGGTACGTAGTTCATAGAAGACTCGGTGTTAAATCCCATTTTCATCAACAAAGATCTTCAAAAATAAAAAATTATTCTTCTTTCAACTATCTTATCTTGTTACAACCTTAACCATAATTAGTCATCAAAGTTTAACATGATGTTCTCAGAAGTATAAATGAGCGATTAAAGTATTGATGGTAAATAATGATATATCTTATCTTAGGTCAGTAACACGGCTGAGATAAAGGCGAAACGAAGGACTCACATGGTGTGGTGGTGAACGTGTTAGACCCCGGAAAGGGCAATAGCGCGTTCGTTCCCCACCTCAGACTCTTGCGGTCCGGAGTTTTGCAAATACCTCAGCTTCATTATGGTTGTATTTCTTACTTCATCAGTTTTTCTTCTCATTTCATGATTAACATCTACAGAACCTACATGATAAAAGAACAATAACATCTTCCTTCGTATTTTTATTGAGCAAACGCGAGGTGTTATTATGCTTTGTTCACGATTAAGCTGACGTTTCGGCGGATTTCGCCTTCCTCAGAGCCCTGTGATTACACATTATACTTCCACGTGATTTCTGTGCGGTTGGTCTCTACGTGACATACTTAGTGGAAACCTCATAGGAAGCGGCTCTGAGGAAGGCGAAATCCGCCNGGCTCTGAGGAAGGCGAAATCCGCCGAAACGTCAGCTTAATCGTGAACAAAGAATAATAACACCTCGCGTTTGCTCAACAAAAATACGAAGAAAATCACTTGATCAATGCCGAGGTTAATAGAAAGTCGGTCGTGGCAATTACATCTTTCATTTTTCCCATATTATATTTCCTTCTTCTGCAAATCATACACACTAATTGATTCCTTCACAAAGCATTTATAAAGTACAAGCGAACACTCGCCATACAACAAAACATGACCATCCATTCAAATCAGTTCTGCTCATACTGTAGATATTCGTACTTTTGCTGGCGTTTCACTATGAATCACCACCGCCTCTCATTGACTTGTAATGAACTTCAACATGTGAATCTTCGCAAATGATCGAAAAATTCGATATTTCGCAGTACTCTCTTTGGTGATTAGGCAGATAAGAAGTATGATTTATAACTAAGATAATAAAACAGAGACGCAGGGCCTGTGCATTTGATGCACGTCCTCACACTACCATTAGTTCCAAGTTCTCCACGTGATATAGAGGGAAATACGACTATAACAAAGGATAAAAAGTAAAACTTCTGGCACTGACAAATCCGTGAAGGATGCACAAATAATTCGCCTTCACTAAGCATTGTTGGAGGTGATTGGATGCGTATCTGGCATGTACATGGACTTGCGGTGCCCTACCAATGTACCAAGTTAGTGCTGGTTTTCTCCCAAACAAATCTGATACCAATTCGCCGACTTTAAGATATTAAATGCATGATTAGGCCAGGCAACGGGATCGAAGTAATGACCATGCGTGCATCACAGGGCGCTTCTAACCACAACGTTACACGCGACCCATACAATCACTATTTCTTGAAAATAAAGAATAAGCGCCATAAAAAAATAGGGAAAGAGTGAACCGCGCCATCTCTGTCTCCTTGGCTGGACAACCGACTTTCTAGAACGACTTTCGAATAAGAGGCAATTGATATATTTCTTTAAATTTCTCAAATTTCATTCACAAACATCTTACGTCCACCTTTCTGTCAAGGTACCAACATTGATTCTCAAAACTTTCTTGGACCCATTTCCTTAGATTGTTCATATTTCGAGATAACTGCGGACCGGAAATACGTTACGTTATGCAACCCCATGACTAATTAATTAGATTGCTCACAGTACTATAAAATGTTCGTTTGACCACGTTTGTCCAAGCGTTTTTCTATCATATGCAGTTGGAAGTACTCTCTGACAACTCACAAACACTTCACAAAATCAGAGCGGTTGGGGATTCTCATGCTTGTTCAACTGTAATAAATAGCAAGCGGTTAACCTCTAAAATTGTTACTAAAGCTGGAAACCGTGGGACATTTCCAACCTGGAAACTCAACTGCCGCGATAGAGCTCAGCCAACGATTCATAGCCATGTTCTCCCTAAGAACTATAAAAAAGATGGCATTACACCAAAAAGTGACATTTTTCATTTCCCTTCAGCGACTAAAGCAAACAGGTCTAGTACGTGCCAAGATGAATGCCGTTTAGTGGTGCTCGCTGCAGTTACTCAGTGATTAAAGAGACTAACAGAGGCTATAAGAAAAAACAAACCGATATTTTTAGTTGGATCTACGCGTTAATCTGATTGAAAATGTATCCGCCTACGCCTTTGATGGTCTTTCTTCGTTGACGAGACTCTCATTAGCAGGAAATTACATCAGGTGGGCATGGTTTTCTTCACTTTGTAGCTAAGTCTCTGACTAGAGTAAAACATAGTTAAGGAACCTCGAGAAGGAGATGTGGGCAGGACTTGATGCTTTGGAAGAAATCGACCTTGGATGGAATGAAATTCGTGAAGTACCTGAAAACGTTTTTTCGCCACTAAGTGAAAATCTACTGACACTCAACTTCCGTCACAACCCACTTAAATCCGTAAGCTATTCTATGATCCAATATAGAACTGAAGTTAACACTACATTTCAATTTTAAGATTCCTTCTACCGGCCTCAAAAACTTACGATCGCTGGTCCTAAGCGAGTGCCCACTTACAAATCTTGTTCCAGAAAACTTGAAGGACTACACTGCTTTAGAAGTACGGTCAGAAATGCTTTTTTAAACGTTCGACTTCACTTGAAGAATTTCAGCACTAGCAGAAAACGGATTCGAAACATTACTCACAAAAACAGTCAATGTCTGCGTTTTCATGCTAGAGAAGAGTTATGGTTCGGTTGACCTCAAAGTTGCAGTTTAACACCAAAGTACATAATTGCCGAATACACTTCCAACAACAAAGATAAATGAAGAAACTGAATTGAACGTTTTTAAGATAATCGGCTAATAAATGTAATAATAAATAAAATAAACCATATACAAGACTTAAAATACCACAGAGTACTTCACTACAAACGCCGCTAGAAGTACAAGCACGGGTTCAGTCCTAACCTTTGCTAACTTTCATAGACATCAAAAGTCTGCAATATTTAATCGGAGTTTTTGCGTTCTTAAGGTAATGAGTGGAAAATTAATTTTGCAATCGAATGCAGTACTAAAACTTTAAACAACGTTAACTTTAACTTATTATTTACGTCCCACTCCTTTTAATGGCAGAGTATATTGCGAAATATAACTTCAATAATGCTGAAACATTTGCAAAACTCCGGACCGCAGGTGTCTGCGGTGGGGAAAACGAACGCGCTATTGTCCTTTCCAGGGAGTCACGCGTTCACCATCACACCATGTGGGTAACGGGTGATTGCTGATGGCAAAGATCGATAGAACTAGCTGAGAGACAGGTGAAACGAAGGGAACTATCTTATAGATACTCATTATTTGGTGTTAGTACCCAATAGTGCCATGCAAAAAGACGTGTGGAGTTTAAACAAAGAAAACAAAATCCGTGGTTGACATCAGGTAGACATGAAAATTCCAAATATTTATTTTGCAATTAACATCGTCCGTTTCATATAGAGGCTCTTTAGTTGATAAAAAAGGTAGGTAAGAACAGGGAGGAAATTCTTAGTTCACGAAAAGACACTGCATCAGAACAGTGTTGCAGCGCTACAGAAAAGACCCAGCCTTACTCTTCATAGTTCTAAACGGTCTTTCCTACTATCTAAACCTCACTTAAGCAATGCTCCCATTTTTTTTACTGTTTTATTATACTTTATATCATATTTGTCAAAGACGTCCTCTCATCGCGTCGATATCTCTAATTTTAGACACTTGACGTCTCAAAGTGCAATCTTACTACGATACGACCAGATGCATTTGTTAATCAGAAGAACTCACTTAAGACGCTTCATCTTGAGCGCAACAAACTTAAAACTCTCGATCCTAAGGTATTATACTGTTTTTACTGGCTGAAGTTGTTCTATTGTTCTCTTTTATCTTTTCGTTCACAGTCATTTTTGGTAGTTTTCAATAACGTAAAATTTTTTGATAAATTGCTTAAGAACGTACTGTTTTGAAGTGCCGTCATAGTTCTTGAGTTTATGGCATACCTGTTTTAAACTGTTCACTTCTTTAGTCACAAGCTTGCTCAGATACCGTAAACTTTTTCTTCTTGTTTTCCTTGCCATCTATCTATCGACCTACATAGATGACTTTCAATCTATGACGTTTACAATCATCTAAATAAAACTATCACATTTACCAAATCAAGAATTGAACCTGTTCAGCTCCTACGAGATCTCCAAGCACTCAAGGTACTTGACATCTCTGAAAACCCTTTCATCTGCGATGACGAAATCAAGGAATGTAAGGTGTTCAGCACTATTAATCATCTCCAAAATTTAAAAACTATTATTTTCTAATGGATTCAAAAACAACTAATCGGATCTCATCATATTCAATATCGTTTTCTTAACAAAATTTTCCAGTCATATTAGCTATCGAGGATCGTTACAAGGAAGCTGCTAAAGAAAGCAAAGAATTCATTATGGTTAATGCTAATGGGACCGCCTGTGATCGACCTTATACACTAAAGCACCAGCCTCTTCTGGACGTCAACGTCGATGAGTTACAAGTGAGATTTCAGATTTGAAAACAATGTGTTACAGTACTAAAATTCAATTCTATTGGCTCCGAGAAAAAATGGTAAACTCAGGAAAAGAAGAAGGGGCATAAGTCACAACATAACTTTTGTTCTTTTCTATTTAAAAAGATTTCCACAAAGCTTTCTACGATCCATTTGTATGAGAGAACAAAAAAATGTGTCTATCTTGATCCGCACAATTTTACAAATTCACTCTTATCCCACAGAGAGCACTAAAAACGGCTACTTTTAGCCATATGATGAAAAACTCGATACAACTACCGCAGCGACAACTACAACCGTTGGACCGAAAATAACCGAATCAGAAGTCACTACACCATTCACACTGGTAAACCTATGTTTTCTGCACTTAGGACAACGTATGCGCCAGATAGAGTGAATCAGAAGCAAGAATCTCCGGACTAGTTCAACAGCATTCCAAGTGATGATACCTAATACATAAACGAATACTGCATTTTAATTTCAGCCAGATCTCTTCGTCGGTACTAAAACAAACGAAACTCTATTCAAGGAAGAACCACGCCGTGAAGTATATGACTTCAATAAAGCTAACGATTCGAAAGATGCCATACTACAACAAGAAGGTAAACACATCAGAGAAAAGCAATGGTTAGCAGAAAATATGACATTAGGGAATCTTTAAGTCTATAATGCCTTGGTGCAGACATTTTACACTGCACTACAAATATAACTGCTCGGCTTTCCTAGAACCCTACTTTCTCATCATTATACTCTAACGTTAAAAAGATTTCTTACCATTTCTAAACTATTTCCAAGTAGCGAAATAGTGGACTTCCCTAGTGTTAACTTGAATGATAAAGTCCCACTAAAACAGCTCTCCTTATTCCAGGAATCCCATCAATCCAGTGGCTCATAACAGTAGTTCATTGTACTGATCAATGAATTCTTAAAAGATGAAAGTATTCCATATGGTGGCGTTATCACAAAATTTTCTAAACCAAATGTGTTTTAAGTCATGATTGAAGTGGTAGTAACTTGATCCTCTCACGAATTATTAGAGCGTACAATGTTAGTTCGATCAACTGACCACCATTCCATTATTTCACGGTGAACTTCAGACTTGCACCGCAACTAGGAACCTATGACGTATATGGAAATCACATCGAAAAAACCACAAGACAATTTGTTCCATGAAATGACCACACCCAGCTGTTACAACGCATCTTTATCAGCTCCCAAGTAGGATGCTATAGAACCACATAAACATTTTAACAATTCAGATTTCAGGAAAAAAGAACTACGTAATGCCGGTAACGATAATTGTGATCGGGCTCGTATCAATTATTGCCGTTGTCGCAGTAGGACTATTCATGAAGGTCAGCAGCTTATGTAAAAACCACACTGAATGTTGAGTAATATTATGTATGTAAAGATTCGGAAGTTTCCTTGCATTCACAATAATATACTAACTGAAAATTCCATATAACAATGAAGTATATTTCTTCGTAAAAGTACAAGCGCATCATTTATTTCTGAATGAATGGTTGGAGGAAACAACTGATTCATCCAAATTATTCAGAAGAAACGAAAAATCGCCACTGAAGAAGAAAACCGAGCAAAGAAAATGTCAAAAATGGAAGATGGCATGGTCGAAATCGAGCTCGATTCAAATAATTTAACGAAGAAATGAGTGACATTGTTAAGAAGCACTGCAGTTGTGCTCTCCATTGTTTTGTATTTAGTGTGAAGATATTTTTTTTAAAAGTTTGATTGCAGTATAGATTTGCTGCACATATAAATTTCCTTCATTTTAAAACAACCGTCTGGAAAGTTTACCAACTCTCCAGTTTGATCTGCTCAACAATGTCTCGGGCACATCTTTTACGCTTGCCTCGCACTCTGTCCTTTTTTTGGTTAACCACTAATGATATCATATGTTGTTATGTTATTCAGTGAAATTTTATGTAATAAAACAGCGATTTAGACTTACGGTATGATCGCCAGCTCGTCGAACAGGTAGACCTCCTGAAAATGCTCACCATAGCAATAAAATCAGAAATATGGCAGCTGACTTCTCAAAAATCAATCTAAATGAGGACACTAACAGCCTTCTGGAAAGAAAAGTGTTGTGCATCAGGGATGAGATGTCCGGTAGGTCCGTGGTATCCATAATACAACAACAATGAGTGGTATTGTTTTTGAACATCAGCGACAAATTTGAAAGCGATGGCATTTGGCCAACATATTGGAGAAATAGGAACAAAAAGAGAAATCGCTAAGTTATTTGCGATTTAGAACTGTGTAGGTAATCGACTTCTTCCTATAGTTACAATTATCCTCAAAATTCCCGATTAGTTGGGGACAAACCATTCAGAGTAGTGGACAAATATATAGTAAAGGCTTAATGCTAAATCAACCACACCTATATTGCCACAAACACAGAAAGCATGACGAAACTCTTGGTAGGGGGCTGAGAATGGAAAAAAAAGGTTAAAGAAAGCGACAAGCCAATTCACATCGGCCGATCTCTTCCACATTTCCGCGTTAGATATCCTCCTCATCAGCAACAATCTCTGAGGTTTCATTAACAAACTCATCCTTTGAAAGATGTTGGGTGTAAACAATGACTTATCTTTGCTAGCGCCTAATGCACAAGTTTGTGCCGCAAGAAAAAAAAACCTGTGCGATAAAACTGGTAATTAGACAGAAAATGTACGGTATTAATTCACATTTTTGTGCTTTGTATTTGGAGGATCGCCTTTGGAGGAGGATAGTTGGTGGGTCGATATTGATATGCGATTTTATTAGATCTAATGCCAAAATAACCTTACAACGGAAGTTCGAAGA